TGTTTCTGACACAAATAAGATCAGAATCAATAGGTTTATTGTCTACAGAACCCGCATAGACCGTGCAGTTCACAATATATGAGGTCAATGTTCCTATAATACTATTACTGCCCAGTCAAACCATCTTTACGTTTACCAATGGATGTGATGGACTGATATTAAAATACATTCTTTCTAATCCCTGCCTGTTTTGTATGGCGGCTATGGGAAATTTTGAATCGATTATTTTGATTTTCAATATAATTTATTCCTGGATAAAAAAATAATGTGGGTCAAAATTCATAGAATTATCTTTTGTAGTTTCTGAGAAAACGACTTAAGAATTACGAAAAAAAACCTGTAATTTTTTCGAGGTAGTCTGAAATTTTTACTCATAACTTTTAACGTTGTGAACCGATTTTGCTGATTTTCAATACTAAACTGCTTAGGACAACAGTGAATATTCTTGGTGAATTTGGTTTATTTCTTTGGTTAGTTTTAACGTGAGCATGTTTTAGGCAGACAGACAGACGGACGGACGGACAGACATAGCTAAATCGACTCAGAATTTGATAAGGACCCAGAATATATCATATATAGCATGCCGGGTTTTAGCTAGTATATATATACAACAGACTGTTTGTTTGTGTGTTTGTTTGCTAAGCTTACACGGCAAAACTACTCAACCGATTTACAGGAAATTTGGACCACTAATTTGTCTAACCCCAAAAGGAGCAATAGGTTATATAAGATCATGATCGGATTTCACGCCCTTTTTTACGCCTACTTTTTATAAAACTATTATTACACCAATTTTGCAAGCACAATATGAAAAAACTACTAAACCCGATAGGTATAAGCTCGGAAAGAACTATAGGCTATATATAAGATCTTGATCAGACGCCGCGCCCCTTTCTATGCTCACTTTTTATAAAACTATCCTTACCTATGTATATCTTATTCAATAATTATATGAAAGTGACTGTTTGTTGTTACGCTTTCACGGACAAACTACTGAACCGATATACATTAAAATATAGAACACTAATAGTTCTATTCTAATGAAACAATAGGTTATATAAAATCATGATTTGACGTCACGATGCTCTTCTTATGCTCACTTTTTTCTATATAATTGTTATACAAAATTTTCATTCGAGACTTACAGAAAACTACTGAACCGATTTACATGAAATTTGGTACACCGATAGATCTTACCTCAGGTGGAACTATTAACTATATAAGATCTGGATCAGACGCCACGCCTTTTTTACGCCAACTTTTTGTAGAACTACTATTACACCAAATATGCGTTTAAGCATACAAAAAAAGTACTAATCCGATTTTCATGAAATCTGTTATATTGAATGTTGTGGAGTGAACAGTACGACACATTACATCTTCAAAACGTATAATATATAATAATAAATACATATGAGACTCTTTCTTTACTCTTTCACTACATAATTACTAAACCGATTTACATAAAATTCGGCATATTAATAGGTCTATCCTCAAAAGTTAAAAGTGAATCTATATGATATTGACTGGATACTACGCACATTTTTATGTTCACTTTTAGAATAACAGCTATAACACCAAATTTCTAGGCTAAATATAAAAAATAAAACATGAACCAATTTTCAAGAAATTTGGCAACAGACAGTGTATTTTTGGAATCAACTTTTTGATCTAGATTTTATGCTTCATGAAATATTGCATAACAATAGTTCTATCGTGGAAGGTCAGGTTAGTTTGAGGAAGAGAATGTTTAATACATCAAATCCGAATAAATACCACTAATTTCGGGCCTGTTGTGATCGTAATGAAATCCAATGACCTTTTTCCGTCCATTTTTTGTAACATTTATAATGCTATTGATATGTACTTCTTATATTATATGAGAATTATTAATTAGGTAGTTAAAATTTTAATCAAAAATTTATTTTTATTTGAAAATTCTAAAATGTTTGTAGGTCCTTAACTTTAGGTAAAATAAAATCTGTAATCAATTTAATTTATTATCAAAAATCGATTTTCATCTAAAGCGTAAAATCGGTTGTAGATTGGTATATCCCATCACTTATGTCACCGGAAAACTATTCTTATTCCAAAACCTGTAATCTGCTGTATATCCTCAGAAAATAACAATTTTAAAAGAGAACCGGATGTAGTTTCCTACGATCGAGAAAACTATAAACTATATTAGATCTTGAATGAATGTCTACGATGCCACTAAACCATTTGTTAAATGCGGCTCAAATCTTAAAAAACTTGATATGTATTTGACTACTCATTAGAGTGTCCTGGATGACAGCACTTTTGCAAATCTTTTATATGTAGGTAGACCTCTCAATCGATGCATATAAAGCATTGTTCATATAAAATATGGATGAATTCATCTTTCAATATCTTTTTATACTTTTAGAAAATTATCCACCAAAAATTCTGCACGTATGTAGCGCCGTATTTATTCCAAGCTTTTCAAATAAAATAATGATTTTGAATAATTCCAGCACACATTTTCCATTTACCATTAACAAATTCCGTAATTTTTTAATTAGAGGAAGATGTGGATATTTTATAAGTAAAATTATTTGGGTAATTTTTTGTATATCTAACGATATTTGACCTTTAAACCTTTATTTCTTCGGATTTAATAAGTGGTGTCTAAATCCATCCAAAACTTTAGTGTGGATGCATAAAAGCTAATGAAAACAAGTAAGAGTGTTATATTCGGCTGTGCCGAATCTTGTATACCCACCAACAAATTATTGCCGAAAAGGAATGCTTCCTTATTAATAAACTTTGATATTTAAGAATCGATGCTTTTGTTATTATCAAAACAATTTTCTTATTTATTACATCTACTATGTATAATTTTACCATCATACATAGGTATATCGATAGGATCAATTATGGACTGATCCTCCTAAAATTTGATAGAGAAATTTTTGTCGAATTTTGTTGCTGTACATGTATTTTTAAGGTAGTAAATAGCGTTAAAGTCATTTTCTGAGAGGGACCTTATTTGGAGGGTTGGTTTGGTCAATTATGGACCGATCCTCGTCCAATTTTCTAGAACGATTATAGTTTAGGCTAGTAATGGGCGTAGAGTCAATTATGAACCGATCCTTATAAATTTTATAAAGGGATTTAGGTTCCTATAAATATGTTTATGTCGAATTTCATCGATATAGATGCTTCTTTTGAACAAATATGAGCGTTAAAGTCATTTTCTGAAGGGGACCTTATATGGGGGTAGGCTCAATTATGGACCGATCGTTATAAAATTTTACAAAGCGATTTAGGTTTCTATAGAATATGTTCATGTCGAATTTCTTTTAGACAGTTATGAGCGTTAAAGGCATTTTCTGAAGGGGACCTTATATGGGGGGTAGGGTCAATTATGGACCGATCCTTATACAATTTTACAAAGATATTAAGGTTCCTATAAAATATGTTTAAGTCGAATTTCATTGTTATAGCTGCTTCTTTTACTCAGTTATGAGCGTTAATATCTTTTTCTGAAGGGTACCTTATATGAGGGGTAGGGTCAATTATGAACCGAGTCTTATAACATTTTACAAAGCGATTTAGGTTCCTATAAAATATGTTTATGTCAAATGTCATGGCTATAGCCGCTTCTTTTAGTCAATTATGAGCGTTAAAGTCATTTTCTGAAGGGAACCTTATATGGGGGCTAGGCGAAATCGTGGACCGATATTGCCCATTTTCAATACCAAACAAACTGCATCAATATAAAATGTCTATGCAAAATTTCAGCCCGCTAGCTACTTCCGTTTGGACTCTATCGTGTTTTCAACAGACAGACAGACGGACGGACATGGCTAGATCGTCTTAGAATTTAATAAAGATCCAGAATATATATACTTTTATGGGTCTAAGATGAATATTTCGATGTGTTACAAACGGAATGACAAAAACAATATACCCCCCATCTTTTTTGATGGTGGGTATAAAAATTAATATTTTTAAACATACTTTTTTATAAATGGATATACCTATTTTGAGAAACAATGACGAAAAAACGGTGGTTTTACTCTTTAATGAACAACCTAAAATTGTTTGTCAAATTAAAAGCAGTTTTGTTTTCTCTGTCAAGATCAAGGATTCTTCATATTTTCCTACCCAGCAAAATCTTTGCTTACAATGATTACCATTAAGTACTTTATTAATGACTTACTTTGTATGCAAATTCTAGAAAAATCAAAATAAAGATACAAACAAACATTTTTTTTTTTTTTTTCCTTTTTTGTGCACACGATATCAAATGTCTATTTTTAGACAAACAGAAAATAAAATAGTATTTGTGTGTGGAAACTATTATTTGGGGCACAATAAAACAACTAAGCAGTGGTGCAGTGAGTGGAGCATCCAACTGGCAAACAGAAGGTACTGAGTTCAACCCCAGTCTTGTCGACTTTTTATTTTTTAATAAATATTCTATAAATAACTCTACTAAAAAAACAACTTATTTCCATCCAAATAATATTGACTTACTTTTTGAACATCTCAAACAAAAATAAGTACTTTTTCTAGTAGAATTGTAACCACTTTACTCGATGAGTTCTGGTGATTTTTCTAGTGAATTTGTAAGCAAATATTTTGCTGAGTATGACAGAAAAAAACGTAATTTTGTTCTTTTTAAAGGAATTTGAAATCAATGAGGGCAAATTTTTCATGATTTAGTGCAGAATTTCCCATAATTGTTTTAGAGTTTTTGAAAATGCATGTACTTTTTCAAACAGCAAAAAAAAAAAATCACATGAAATTTTGTACGCTTAATGGTACGTGTTTTTGTAGTTAATAAAATGCCCCCGAATACTTTTGCCTCTTTACACCAGGGGCACTACAATCATAGTTGCCAGATGATTTGGGTGCAAAATCAAATTTCGAGGAAAAAATCGTCGAAATCGTCAATTGATTTTTGGAAATCGTCATTAAATCGTCAAAACTATTTGTTATAGATAATAAACATATTAGATGGTATTTGTCGTTGAGGGCAATCCTGTTTGATATATTGTTTATTATTAGGTGGCATCTTTGTTTGTTCGAAATGTTGCTAGTATCTATGTTTATTAAAGAGGGGAAAAAACTTACGGTTTCTTGTATATTAAAGTCAATAATTTATGTAAAGCTAAATTAAATACATTGGAATTGTCCATTTTTTAAATAAGTAACTTGTTACAAAGCAACCATTTCTAAAGTCTGTTTTGTCACGTAATTGTTAAAGTCAACTTGTCCTCGTTTTATATTGCCTACAAGAGATCGACCGAGTAAGTTTTGTTTAATCTTAAGATACTTTATAAATAATAATTACTTAATTTTAGAGAATAAACTGAGCCTTTGCCAAAATTATACTGTTGTTTATTCTTGCCGACCTTTTATTAAAACGAGTGACAACTTTATTCTTCGTCAGCCTTATGAAACAATTAATTTGCCATTTGCCTTATGTCGGATCCTGCCCCATTTAGAAGAAGTAATAGAGATACCAAAGGAGTGCCGCCAGCCCGTTATATAATGGAATCGCAGAATGAAGCCAACAATTTGCATACTCCAAGGAGTGCAGCTGCACCAAATATTCAAACGGGTACACCTAGACAACCAGATGCTTTAAGACAGCCACATGAAGTCTTACAAAATGAAGTAAACAATTCGCAGACACCAAAAAATACTACTCCATCTAACGTACAAACAGGTTCGTGTAAGAAACCACCAGATGCTTCAAAGCAAATCGCTGAAATACAGAGAGAGTTTCAGCGCCAAATGACGTCTCTTCAAAGTCTAATTATCGCCAACAATAATCAGACGAAAGCTACAGTTGGAGAATTAAGACAAGAAATTCAAACCATTGCCAAAGCAATACCACCGACAACAACACCAGTATCTGATAATACTCCTCGAAATAATGGTCAAGAAACGGGTGAGTCCTATTCTAATTTATCTTTTCATAGTCAAAACTGCCAACCTACCAAATCAAAGAAAATATATCCCCTTCCTAAATTTGAAGGCCAGCCTGAAGACTGGCAAATGTTTTACGAAGATTTTATTGCCACTACTCAAGAATTTGAATATACTGATCTTCAGAACATCATTAGAATTCGTGAAGCTCTTACGGGACCCGCACGAGAAACCGTGGAATGCCTTCTTTCCAGTTCAAAAAACGTGAGTGCCATAATTGAAACATTAAAAGAAACATTTGGACGTCCTGAAATGCTAATAAAAAGCCAGATTCAAAAAGTGAGGTTATATCCGAACGTTCCCGATGGTAAATTGGACCAACTTATAGGTTTTGCCAATAAAGTTAACAACATGGCCACATTTCTGAAGTCAGTAGAAGGAGAACACCATTTATATAATCCATCGCTGTTGAGCGAATTAGTTTCAAAATTGTCAACAACTAAACAAATGCAATGGGCAGAAAAATGTTTAAGTTTAAATAAGACAGCCAATATTATTGATTTTAGTAACTGGCTGAACTGTATGAGAAAACTTGCTAACATGGTATCTGATTCGCTTCCAACTTCATTGCAAGATAGCTCCAACCGCAAATCATATAATCAACAACCTGCATCACAAAAAACAAACAAATATGCAATGCTTAGCATGGCCCACAAACCGTGTTTTATTTGTGATGGTGAATGTGCGGACATATGTAATTGTGAAAAGTTTTTGAGCATGGAAGTAGATGATCGCTGGAAAATTGTAAAAGAATTACACTTGTGTTTTTGTTGCTTAAAACCGAATCATCAATTAAAATCCTGTTACGCCAAACATGTGTGTGGTATAAATAATTGTCCTCAAAAACATCATAATCTCCTACATAATATTAGCCGAGAAATGCCCACAAGTTCATCAACTATTTCATCCGCCGTTAATTGTCATGTAGACTGCCAACTTGATAATGTTTTGTTCCAGATAATCCCAATAAAGCTTTACAATAATGGAAAAGAAGTGTCTATTTACGCCTTTATAGATGATGGGGCTAATGCAACAATTCTAGATTGGGATATTGCTCGTCAGCTAGACCTACACGGCACAACAGATACGCTAAAGCTGCAATGGTTAAATGGTCGCTCGTCTAGTGAATCCACAGAAATTGTTGATGTTTATGTAAGCGCTATTGACGATAATAAAAATAAATATGAAATGAAAAGAATTTACTTGTCAAAAAATCTAGAATTGCCAACCCAATCGATTGTTAAAAATCAGCTGACTGTTAATTATCCCCATTTGACAAATATACCAATTAACGAATACATTTCAATAAGACCAAAAATGATAATAAGTATTGCTCACGCATTTTTAACAGTTCCCAATGAAGTTATAGAAAATCCATCGTATTTTGGTCCGATTGTTATAAAATGTAAATTGGGATTAATTATTTATGGTCCCGTGAAAAATTGTGATTCAAAGGCCAAGCAAGTATTTTGTACAAATGCAGTAAAAAATAAAACGGCAGATGAAGAAATAAAAGATATGATGTATAATTACTTTGAAGTTGAATCTTGTGGTGTGAAAAGTAATATTAAAACAATTTTGTCAAGTGAACATGAAAGAGCATTAGATATAATGAACACAACAACAAAGTTCATTGGTGATCGTTATGAATGTGGCTTATTGTGGAAAACTAACGATATCTCGTTTCCACCAACTTATGAAATGGCCCGAAAAAGATTAGAATTAACAGAAAACAAATTTAAAAGGGATGATGTATATGCTAAGAAATACTGTGACAAAATTGAAGATCTGTTTAAAAAGGGATATGCCAGACGGTTAAGCCAATCAGAGCAAGCAATTACACCAAAAGCCTTTTATTTGCCTCATTTTGCCGTTAAAAACCCAAACAAAGATGATATTCGCGTCGTTTTTGATGCTGCATCCAAAGTCCATGGAATTTCTTTAAATGATGCACTTCTTTCTGGCCCTGATTTAAACAATTCACTTATTTCAGTATTGTTTAAATTTAGAGAAGCACCGGTAGCGGTTTGCGGAGATATTCGTGAAATGTTTTTGCAAGTAGCCATAAAGAATGATGACATAAATTCTCAAAGATTCTTGTGGAGAGGTTTAGATTGTAATGATTCCATACAACATTGTGTTATGACAAGAATGATATTTGGCGCCGCTTGCTCTCCTACTATAGCTCAATTTATTAAAAACAAAAATGCCCAGACATTTTCGGAAGTAAGCCCAAGAGCCGAGGATGCTATAATTTATCGTCATTATGTAGATGATTACGTGGATTGTTTCCAGTCAGATTCGGAAGCAATCGAGGTTGTAACAGAGGTGAGAAAGATTCATAAAAAGGCTGGTTTTGATTTATGCAAAATAGTTTCAAATTCCCAGAATGTTATTGACGCATTTCATGGCTCTAATGTACGTTCAGTAGATGTGTCAACGGATGGAGTCGAAAGAATATTAGGTTTGCATTGGAATCCAATTACTGATGAATTTGTTTTTATTTTAAAATTTCATCGAATAACTGAAGATATTATTGAATTACGTCGCAAACCAACGAAAAGAGAAATGTTAAGTGTAATTATGTCTATTTTTGATCCGTATGGTTTTTTGGCAAATATTACAGTAGCGGGAAAAATTCTGATGCAAACACTATGGAAATACGATTTAAACTGGGACGATGAAATACCGGATTGTTTGAATGGTAGGTGGGTTGCTTGGCTGTGTGAAATAAAGAAGGTAAAGGACTATAAAATATCTCGTTGCCATTTTTATAATTTTTGTAATACTGTTAATGAGTTACATTTGTTTAGTGATGCTAGCGAACAGGCCATGGCGGTTGTCGGTTACTGGCGAATAAAAACAAATACTGGTTATAAAATTTCATTTGTTTGTGGTAAAACTAATTGTGCACCGACAAGATATCACTCAATACCAAAACTGGAGCTTCAAGCCGCTGTTATAGCTGTTCGACTTCAAAACCAAATAATTAATCATTATTGTGTTAAACCTGATCGTGTGCAGTTCTGGACAGATTCTCATACAGTAATGAGATGGATAAAATCTGATTCACGAAAATATAAACAGTACGTAGCGAATCGAGTTGGTGAAATTTTAGAAGCTACGACAGTGGATAATTGGCGGTGGTTACCGGGAACTGAAAATCCTGCCGATGATGCAACGCGGTCAAAACCAAAATTTGAATTTGATAGTCGGTGGAAAAATGGACCAGAATTTTTGTATCTTCCAGAAAATTTGTGGCCTTCAATGAATGATACTTCTTACCATTTAGAACCTGAGTTAGAACTTCGAAATAAATATGTCTTAACATCTGTGGTATGTTCACCTTTATTTGATTTTAATCGATATTCTAATTTTCGTAGATTGAAAAGAGCCATGGCTTGGATAATGAGATTTATTAATAATTCAAAAATATCTGAAAATAACGGTAGAATCAAAGGCGAATTATCAGTTGAAGAAGAAGATCACGCTGAAAAGATTTTGTGTCGTATGGTACAGCAATCAACATTTCGTTCTGAATATAAATGCCTCCAAATGAACAAACCTATTGAGGCTCGAAGTGATTTAAAAACGTTGTGCCCATATTTGGATGATTTTGGGTTGCTTCGTGTGTATGGACGTATCGATAATGCACCATTTGTTGCCATGGGTACAAAAAGACCGTGTATATTGCCAAGAAAACACCGGTTCACAGAATTGTTGGTTTCGTGGTATCATCATAGATTCAACCATATTAATGTCAACACGGTAATATGCGAAATAAGGCATAAATTTTGGATTCCATCAATCAGAAGTGTAATAAATAAAGTTCAAACAAAATGTTGTATATGTAAAATTCGTAAATCAAAGCCTAGTCAACCAATAATGGGGCCATTACCAATTGACCGTGTCACACCGTTCTTGAGGCCCTTTTCATATACGGGTCTTGACTATTTTGGGCCGGTTGAGGTTACTATAAGACGTCAAAGAGAAAAAAGATGGATTGCGCTATTCACTTGCCTTACGGTCAGAGCAGTGCATCTGGAAATCGCTACAAATCTCTCTAGTGATGCTTGTTTAATGTGTATACGAAATTTCGCTAATCGCAGAGGAGTGCCAATACAAATAAGGAGTGATAATGGAACAAATTTTGTAGGCCTCCAGAAAGAATTACATGGTGAGAGGAATTTTTGGGATAATGAAGTCATTACTGCTGGCCTTGCTCCTCTTGGCATAAAATGGAAATTTAATACACCATCTGACCCATCTGCTGGTGGAGCATGGGAGAGATTGGTTCAATCAGTAAAAAGAGCTTTATACGCAATGTTAAAAGAACATGCCCCACGCTTAGAAACTCTATACAGTCTGTTGGTAGAGACCGAAAATATGGTGAATTCAAGGCCACTTACTCATATTCCGATAACACCTAACGAGCCCGAGCCACTAACACCAAATCATTTTATAGTTGGATGTACCAGTTCAACCCAAACTCCCGCAGAATATGAACATCGTATTTGCGCATCAAGAAAACAGTGGCGTATACTGCAAAATCTAAAGAATGGAGTATGGAAGCGTTGGATAAAAGAGTATCTCCCAGAACTTACACGCCGTTCTAAATGGTTTGCCCCATCCAGTCCGTTATGTTCTGGAAGCCTTGTGTTAATTTGCGATGTGAATGAACCCCGCTCAAAGTGGAAGAGAGGAAGAGTTTTAAGATTAATATTTGGTAAAGATGGAGTTGCCCGTTCCGCAGATATACGTACATCAACAGGAGTTTTAAGTAGACCGATCAACAAGTTAGCTGTACTAGATGTAGCGGATGGATGTAGTGAATCTCAGCCCATGAAGTCGATTCACGGGGGCGGGGATGTCGTTGAGGGCAATCCTGTTTGATATATTGTTTATTATTAGGTGGCATCTTTGTTTGTTCGAAATGTTGCTAGTATCTATGTTTATTAAAGAGGGGAAAAAACTTACGGTTTCTTGTATATTAAAGTCAATAATTTATGTAAAGCTAAATTAAATACATTGGAATTGTCCATTTTTTAAATAAGTAACTTGTTACAAAGCAACCATTTCTAAAGTCTGTTTTGTCACGTAATTGTTAAAGTCAACTTGTCCTCGTTTTATATTGCCTACAAGAGATCGACCGAGTAAGTTTTGTTTAATCTTAAGATACTTTATAAATAATAATTACTTAATTTTAGAGAATAAACTGAGCCTTTGCCAAAATTATACTGTTGTTTATTCTTGCCGACCTTTTATTAAAACGAGTGACAGTATTTCCACAAATTTTTTATTTATTAGTTTAACTGTCTCAACGTTTTTATCAATTTCGATTGATATTAGTTGTCATTATCTGCTTAATTTAACAATTATACTTTAAAATACCTTATACTGAGTTCTTGTAAACTACATACATATCTGATATGATATACAGTAAATATGAATATGATATATTTTTTATTCAACCTTTTTACATGTTTTTCATGAATTTTTTTAATATATTTATTGAGAAATTTTTTCATAATTTTTATTTAAATTAAAAAAAATTAAGAAGAAAATATGATCTATAAATCTTGAATATGACTTAAATAATCTATTAAAATCGAATCATGTATATTATGCTCTTATGGGTAAGGTTGATAGAAGGGTGTTTACTAGAGTATTCAAACGATTAATCGTCGATCGGTTAATCGATCAATTTTTAACGATTAATCGTTCGAATAAATTAAAATTGCCAAATTTCAAATAACAAATAAACCGAATAATTTCTTTCAAATAACCGATTAAGAAAAAATTACTTGTAACAGTAAAATTGCTATATATTTTATAGAAAATTCAATATTTTTATAATAAATTTTCTTCCTTTATTAATTCTTTAATTATTTTCAATAATGAAGAAAATTTATTTGATGATTTCAATAACAATACTTCAGAAACATTTTAGGAATTTGTTTTAATTTACCTACTTCTAGAATGTATTCGTAAAGAAACACTTTAGATTCTGGAAAGGCAATCTTGGAAATCCCCCTTACTTCTACAATCAGTTTTGAAGAACATTGTTGTGTTTTTTAAGAATTTCTAATAAGTTCTTAAGCATTAGTTATAGACTAATTCAATGGAACGTATGAATTTTTGAACTCGTTGAAAAATCTCAAAAACATAAAATTAATTAACTTAATTTCTTTATATAGGAAAGAAATTCACATGAAAAGAAATAATTTCGAATATTTGAGAACGAACTTAATTAAAAAATATACATAGATTTGAACTCAAAGAAGTGGAAAATTATAACTTTATTTGTTATAGGAAGAAAAATAATGTAAAAAAGCAACAGAATTAATAATAATACCTCAAATAATTATTTGTCAAATAAACCGAATAAGTGAAAAACCCGAATAATTGAATACCATAGTGTTTACTAATCAAATCCGAAATAATACATCTAGGCCACTATCGGGCCTGTTGTGTGATCCTTTTCATGAAATTGTTTTTTCACTGAATGTATTATTTTTCAATGTTCAGAAACGCAGTTTCCTGGACGAAATTCCTAAGAATTTTCCAATCAGTGTTAGTCAGGAATGTTATTTCCGGAATAACATCACTTCCAAGATACTTGGATCTCACTTCGACGAATGCCTGATAGTGGCAGAGAAAATGCTCCAGAGTTTCACTGTCCTCTCCACATGCTCTACATTCGTCTGAATCTGCACTTTCAATTTTATATAGATGTGCTCGTAATTCTGTGCGTCCACTCAGAATACGTACAATCATACTAACCTCGGACTTGCTCATTTTAAGGAGATTTCTAGTCTTGTTCTCATTAGGGTCACCCCATAGGATCTTTGTGATTCGACCCACCGTTTCATTATTCCAACAGGCCTTATGGGATTCTTTCATCGATATCTTTAATTCAGCTTTCAGGTTTTGCGTTCGTCAGGTTAACTACCTCGAGCTCCCTTCCCTTTAAAGCTATTACATTCGCCTTTTCGTTACAGACTAATTTGAAAATTTGTATAAAAATCATTTATTAAAAAATCGTAAAATTTAGAGGTAAAATCGTCAAATCGTCAACAGGCTATTTTTTACACTGAAAATCGTCAACATGATGATAAATCGTCAAATTTGGCAATAGTGACTACAATTCAAAGTATGTTGTGACCTAATTTAAATTCTTTAAATCTACTGCACATGGAAAAAATTGATTGAAAGTGATTGAAAATGCTGATTTCAGTATAATTTCTAAAAAAAGTTCCCCGTTTATAGGCTTTCATTTACTCCGGACTCTACATGCTTAATTTCATGTTTTTATGTCCAATATTATAGAAAGCTCAAAAAGTACCAGTTTAAGAACGAAAAAGTACCAAAAAGTCCCCTTTTATGGGTTCTCATTTACTCCGGGTTCTACATGCTTAATTTCATGTTTCTAGGTTCAATATTATAGAAAACTCAAAAAGTACCAATTAAAGAACGAACAAGTGCCAAAAAGTCCCCTCCCTCCGGTCTCTACATGCTTAATTTCATGTTTCTAGGTTCAATATTATAGAAAATTCAAAATGTACCTTTTGAAGAACGAAAAAGTACCAAAAAGTCTCATTTCATAGATTCTCATTTTCTCTGGGCTCTACATTTTTAATTTCATGTTCCTTGGTTCAATATTATAGAAAATTCAAAAATTACCTTTTAAAGAACGAAAAAGTACCAAAAAATAGTCCTTTGTAACGGAGTTCCAAGTAACACTCCATTTGTATATATAGTGTTACTAAATCAAAGCAGCTAGTGCTTTATGCTTTATTTAAATTATAATTTTCAATTGTAATTAAAATTTTTTAAATAAATAAATAAATAAAATCGATAAATTTCTCCAATTTTATTAAAATTGGGTCAGTGAGTTTGAATAAAATCAAATTTCCCCTTTTTCTCCTTTTGGTACTTTGTTCCCGTATTGACGTGATAAACATTTTATTATAAAAAGTTGCAATATCGTATTAGGAGCCCATCATTAAGTATTCATACACCTGTTAATACAAATTAATACATACGAAACAATGTTTTATGCAAAAAGTACCAAAAATAGGTACGATTTTCACCCCTTAATCAGAATATCCAAAAATTACTAAATTTGTATTTTTATTATAGCCTCCACCACCATCAGTGGTGATAGAGGGTATATATAACTTTGTCATTCCGTGTGTAACACCAAGAAATATTCATCTGAGATCCAACAAAGTATATATATTCCGGGTCCTTATTAAATTCTGAGTCGAACTAGCTATGTCCGTCTGTCCGTCCGTCTGTCTGTGTAAAACACGCTCACGTTAAAACGAAGCAATAGAAATTCACGAAATTCACCCAAAACATCTTTATATCCGGTACAGTTTGGTATTGAAAATCAGTAAAATCGGTCCACGACGTAAAAAGTGATGAGTAAAAATTTCAGACTACCTCGAAAAAAATAAAGTTTTTTTTCCCTATTCTTAAGTAGTTTTCTCAGAAACTACAATGATATTTCGATGAATTTTGTCACACATTATTTTTTTGTAAAAGGGATCAAGTATGTTTAAACTCACAACAATTGATCCAATATTTCCCATAGCCCAAAGGTGTATATTCCCGGAAATTAGTTTATCGTTAACAAGTTAGAGTGCTATATTCGGCTGTGCCGAATCTTAAATACCCTCCACCAGCAAGCTACTTTTTATTAAAACCCATTTAACTATCTATTTATTAGATAACTTGACAAAATTGTTGTTTCCGTAGTGAGGGTACTAACATTTATGCATATGTGGAACTAATATTGATTAGGTTCATAAAATTTTATATTAATAGGCCAGTTGTAAACATTTTAATATAATGACTTATTTTTATCATGTCGAATTTTATCTGGATATATTCATTTAATAATGAATTAAGTGATTTTCAGAAGTAAAATTCCGTATAACGATTTATATATACAAAATACACATTTATGTCGAATTTTATCCCGATGACTTTGACTGTCAATGTGTGTTTAAGTATAATCGTATAATGATTTATATGCAAAAAAAAATTCAAGACGAATATTACTCCAATAGATTTATTAATTAATAAAATATGTGCGTTTAAGTGATTTTCGGAAGTGTACTTTATATAGGAGCTATGACCAATTTCGGGCCTCTCCAGAATATGTATGTACACAAAACATATTTGTGTCGAATTGTATCAAGATAGCTTTATTTGACAATGAAATATGTGAGTTTAAATGATTTTCGGAAGAGGGCCTTCTATGAGACCTATGTATGACCAATGTATGTGCTACGACTAATAATGGATTTGTATGTACACAAAACATATTCAGCTCGAATTTTATCACAAAAGCTCTATTTATCAATGAAATATGTGCGTTTAGGTGATTTTTGGAGGTGGACCTTATATGGGAGCTATAACCAATTGTGGACCGACTGAGATCTACGTTGGTAGTATGATTTCTATTCATATTATATTTGCATGTAAAAAAGTTTGTGTTGATACCGATATATTTGAGGGAGTTATTAACGATAAACTAATTTCCGGGAATATACACCTTTGTATGGGGAAATATTGGATGGGAAATATTGTTATGACTCTAAACATACTTGATCCAGGGTACAAAAAAATAATGTGTGACAAAATTCATCGAAATATCTTTGGTAGTTTCTGAGAAAACTACTTAAGAATTGGGAAAAGAACGTTATTTCTTTCGAGGTAGTCTGAAATTTTTACTCATAACCTTTTACGTCGTGAACCGATTTTACTGATTTTCAATACCGGATAATAAAGACTGTTTTGGGTGAATTTCGTGAATTTCTATTGCTTCGTTTTAACTTGAGCGGACGTAGCTAAATCGACTCAGAATTTCATAAGGATCAAGAATATATATACTTTGTTGGGTCTCAGATGAATATTTCTTGGTGTTATACACGGAATGACAAAGTTATATATACCCTCTATCACCACTGATGGTGGTGGAGGGTATAATAATGTAAACAACAACATACAAACCGTTATTATCAAACCGCATAACAAACAAGTAGACACTTAGGTTAAAATGTGTTCATATTTTAGTTAAAATGAAAAATTTAGAATGAAACCATATACCAATGTAACGCTAATAAAATTGCGCGTTTACGGATGTGCGGGAACTTTATTCACGATCGATATTATATTCCTAAGGTATTTTTCATATTTGCAAAAAGTCATAACCCTAACAG